GATCATGGCTCACTGCAGCCTTGACCCCCGGCGCCTCTCCCCCAAGTGATCTTTCCACGTCAGCGTCCTTAGTAGCTGGGACCAGAAGTGCACACCACCACACCCAGCTAGCTTTATTTTTTTAGAGTTAAGGTCTCGCTGTATTTCCCAGGCTGATCTTGAATTCCTGGGCTCACGCAGCCTTCCCGCCTTGGCTCCCAAAGTAGTAGAATTATAGGCATAAGCCACCATGCTCAGCCTGATTTTTCTTGTTTTTCTAGTGAAGCCAAACCAAGAAGAAATCTCTTTCGAATAATGAGGAATTGAGATTTCTGAAGAATATTTGGGCCGGGCATGGTGGCTTATGCCTGTAATCTCAGCACTTTGGGAGGCCAAGGCGGGTGGATCATGAGGTCAAGAGTTAGAGACGTTCCTGGCTAATATGGTGAAACCCTGTAGGATAATTGCTTGAGGAGGAGGTTGCAGTGAGCCGAGATCCTGCCACTGCACTCCAGCCTAGCAACAGAGTGGCAAATTCGTCTCAAAAACAAAACAAGAATATTTGGACAGTGGTTGAGAAATTATAAGTTTTCTTTCCCTGAATATCTTAAAAAATTGGAATAATTTAAAAAATCTGTATTGCATTGTGACTCAGAGTTTTCTGGTAATACGCTTTGTTCCTAGGATGGAAAAATCTGAGTGCAGATTATCTTGTTGCATGTTCGTCTCTCCTAGTATTTTCACAGAAAGTTTCAGGTGATCATTTCACACTCCATTGATTACCCTGGTTCTGGTCGATATGGTACAAACAAACCTACATTGTATTCTTCTGTTGGATTGACAAGGGATTAAAATGATAATAATTGGCAGGAGTCAATAGCTCTTGAGATTTATATTCTTATAATTTGACTAAATGACATTCTTTTATGGAAAATATTTAAAATTTCACACAGAGGGCAGCAGTATTCTTTAAAAAGATACAAGAGATAGATCTTTGTGGTTATAGGAAGTATTCATGCAAAGCACCAATTTTTTCCTTTATAACTAACTGTCATAAAAATGGAGACGATCCCTTGTGGTTAAGGTTCTCAGATCTTTTTCAGCCTTCTCATATTGTGAAGGAATAGAAAAGACCCATTCTGTCCTGATTTTATTTGTAGGCATGTATTAGTCTGTTGTACTATAGATGTCTTACCTTTTATGAGGATATGCACAATTTTTTTTTTGTACTGTAAATGTCTTTTATGAGGATGTGCACAATTTGTTGTAGATGTCTTATCTTTTATGAGGATGTGCACAATTTTTTTTTTTTGAGACAAAATCTCGCTCTGTCACCCAGGCTGGAGTGCAGTGGCATGATCTCAGTTTACTGTAATCTCTGCCTCTCTTCAAGCAATTCTTTTTTTTTTTTTTTTTTT